TCTGTATATGTATGTATGTTAAAGCAAAATACATGTACATATGTATGTATGTGTATTTATTTTAAAATTTACACCCTACTTAAGGGCCGTTTTCACCACGTCTAGTTAACACTGCTGGGTGTCGATAACGTCGATAACGATGTTTAACTGGGAGTTAGAATTGACCAGACATGGGGCAAACGGCCCTAAAAGAGAGTAAGGGCCAGTATCTCAATGTCTGGTTAGCACTAACTACATGTTAAACATCTTTAGCGACGTTATCGACTCCCTGTTGTATGGATGAAGTCGAAGACATCGATAACAATGTCTAACCTGCACTTAGTTAACCAGACATGAGAAACTGGCCCTAAATTGCAAATGCTTAATTATGTACGTAAGCATATAAGGACTTATGTATTGTATTGTATGTACGCACATGTATGTATGTAATTAAACATATTTCTCTTGATATTTAAACTGTATGTACATATGTATGTAAGGGTGGCCATGCATAAATGTTGCAACTACTATATATCTTTGTGAATGCGAGAGCATAAAAAACTTACTTAAATGATTAAGGAATAATTCGATTTTATAGTCGTACTTACAGGTTTTCATATGCATGTATGTAAATATGTTCACCTGCCCGTGTATTTAAATAAATACTTACATACATATATAACTTTTGTAAGAGCGTTACACTCGCTTCTATTACATGTACATATGTACGTATGTATATATGTACGTACATACATACATATATTATGTATGAGGTTTTCATAATACTTACATAAATATATATATAAAAAATTGTTAAATAGTAGAAATAAGTACATATTTACTTTAAGTAAAAATAAAATAGTAATAACAACGAAAATGTTGTAGGTATTTATTAGCGTAATACATAGTAAAACGAAACAAAGACTGTTCAAATTACAATTAAATTAGTTAGTTAGGGACTATTGTTGTATATAATAAGTAAATTGTTGTGAGAGTGAGAGTAAATAATTTAATTACAAATGTGTAAGTTTATTTCTGTGCTAAGACTTAAAAATGATAATGTGTAATCATGCGTACGTACACATATTTGTAAATTTATATTGTACATTTGTGTGTGTGTGTGTGTGTATATGTCCAGCGCTAATGTTGAAGAAAAAATTGCAAAACGGGGGTGCGGATGCGGAATCATAGCGCAAACAAAAATGTGTATATTTTTTACATGCAAATGGGTCAATCCACGTAAAATCGACTAATGGTTGGAAGAGGCAATTTTTGATTTGGATAAATTTTGGTCAGACCTTTTCTTTTGCCATATAACGAAGATCTGCCAAAGGAAAAAAAATGTTTCGAAGGTTATTAAATATGTACAAAATTCTAAATTTCATAATTTCCGGGATTTCGCAAGTTTTTGTTTTTAATATCTCGAAAATTGTTATAGTTACAATGGTTTATATATTTAGGCCTATAAAGAAAAAATATGTATGTATGTTTACAAACAAATATACAACATTTTGAAAAAAAAAAAAATCGTTAAACCAAAAACTTACAAAAAAACCTTCAACTGATCTTAAATGATCCTGAAATTTTCAAGGCGTTTTTAACTTTGAAGTTTGATTTTTATTATCTTTTTAAAGTTATCTTAAACAGTTTTATATAATTTTAATTTGTTTTTAATTTAGTTTGCAATAAATATTTATTCCACGTTCAAAAATTAATATCTTTAAAGAAAAAACGCATTTTTGAAAATTTCATGCTCTTTAAGATCAGTTAGAGAGGTGTTGTATAAAAAAGTAAGCCAAAAATTTGTACAAGATTTTGCGTTTATGTTTTATTTAATTTAAAAATTCTGTAATTCGTTTTATTTTTCGCATTTTGTAAATATAGTTTTTATTCATTTTTATAGCTACAATAGTTTTTAAAATATATTGAAAAAACAAACTTCCAAAATTTTAGAAATTGTGAAATTTGGAACTTTCGAATTTTTTTTTTGTTATTGCTTTGGCAAAAATTTATATGATAAAATAAAAGTCCTGACCAAAATTCATCTAGACCAAAGGGGGTCAACTCCAACCATTGGTCGATTTGATATGGATTTACCCAATGTAGATTCGTATATATAAATACATAGGTATGTGCTTATACCTCTATGCATAAGTAAGTACACATACATACATATACATAAATATGTATGTGAATATGTGAGGAGTAAGTATGTAGCTTGAGAAGCTTAACTTATCGAATGTTGAATGTTGAATATTGAATGTCTTGCATTTGTTTTAAATTTAGAAAGTGCAACTGTAAACTATTTGTTACTATTTACACCACCCGCATGCACCTAGGAGTATCTTACTATGTACTATTTACTGTAGATTAGCAAAAATAACAGAAAAAAAATTGTTTAAAATAAATTTTAATTCAATGAAATGAACCACAGTGTACAACTATTAAAATAAATACATACATACATACATATGTATGTGAGTGTGGTAAATGGTATGTATGTTAACAGGCGCATCTGTATGTATTTATGGAATTAAAATAGTGTGGTAGTAACTACAGTAAGTATACCCTGCATGGAAAATCCTAACAAGTGAAACAAATTTCAGGTTCAGGACTAGTTCTTTATCACCGAAAACGAACCACTCCGATGGTAATTAGATTCTTGCCAGTTAAAAAGCAAACGAATTGTGGTATTTTTTACATAACTTGTTTAGTCTACTTTCTAAAACTGCATATCGCTAGCTAAGAGTAAAAAGTTGCTAAGTCCACTTTTTCTGAAAAATTATATTTTGTTGCAGGAAGCAGGACCAATTAAAAATAATTCGTTTCTTAAAATATCGGACTACCTAAGTACAAATCGCTAGCTTAGAGTGAAAAGTTGCCAAGTCCCAATTTAAAAATTGTATGGGACACAGTGTTCGGAGAAGCAAAAAATTAGAAGGGCTGTTACGATTATAATAAAAATGCATCATCGTAGTATTTTTGTTATGCTAAATCTGAATGTGCCATAAAATTTTTAGTTTGACAGTTGACAGCTGTCAAATCAACTGCTAATTTCTCTAAAAATAAGAAAACCTCTTTGAAAATACCACTTATTAGGATTTTAGGTACGAATTTTATGTCAAAATAAAATTTTGACAGTCGACAGCTGTCAAACGGACTGCCAATTTCCTTAAAAAATCAGAGAATCTTTTTGAAAACGTTACTGATAAGGTTTTTAAACATGCTCATCACGAATTTTACATCAAATTAAAGCTTTGAGAGTTGTCAGCTGTCAAATTGACTGTTAATTTTTCTGATAATAAGAATATGTTTTTTTAAATGCTACTGATAAGGTTTTTAGACACGCTAGTCACGAATTTTGCGTGAAATTAAAACTTTGAGATTTGACAGCTGTCGAATGAGCTGTCAATTTCTCTAAAAGTAAGGAGAATTTCTCAAGAAGTAAACGTACTACGTTTTAAGGCTCACTGATCTCGAGTTCTATATTACATTCAAACTTTTCCAGTTGAAATCTGTCAAATCAACTGTAATTTTTAGTTGAGTAACACAATATATTTGTTAAGCAAAATTATTGATTTATTATATTTGATCGAACATATTTAAAATAAATTTATGATCAAATTATGAATTAATAATATATTATAATGCTATATGTTCAGCCCAAACAATTTTTTAAGATTTTTTATATCAAATTGGTGATTTCCGAAACTAAAGTTTTCTCATTCAGGTTTGAATTTTTGTAAATGAGACAACAACCAGCAAAACTGTTAGTTTTTTACCAGCTAGTCTTAAAAAAACGCGAGTTTAATTGAATTTTCCATAGTTTAAACTTTTATATTTCAATTCCCAAAATTTTCGCGCTTTTTTTTGTATTGAGCTGATTTTTTTTTTGCTAAGTTTAAAGTAGTACAGCCGTTATTAGAGTACAACTCCACAATAATCTTTTTTTCGCATTTCAGGCTTTCAACTATACAAGTCAGCTATTGCTGAAAGCCTGAAAAGCGCGGAACGCCTGAAAAGCTTGTTTTGGAGTTGCACTATTAGACTTAAGAGAATGTATGGAATTCTTCATCTTTAATAAGAAATAGCCTTTTCTACCCTTTTTCAAAATCAATTTAAGGGAAACTTTACTTTACGGCAAATCGTTGTGTGCGTGGTGAGCGGAAGGGAGGGAGCGTGGCACCTCCCACACCCCATTTTAGAGAGGGCATGAACTGCCGTTTTCAAAAATTTAACTCCCAACTGCCGAGGCGCCATACAGGTCCATTGGGAGTTCTTACAAAAATGGGCAAAAATTAAAATTTTTACCTGCGTTTCTGCTTGTTTTGAGTAGATGAAGGCAATAACTTGAGCCTTTCCGTATCGCCGGACAAGAGTAGGGCCGCCAAATGTATTTAATATTTCTTGTGCATAAAAGTGAGGACCCCAGGCTCTATCTAGGGGCTTCCATTGAAAAAGTTCTTTCTTCGTAGGCGGCCTCTGGTCGAGCTTAAGGATTATAACCCTTACTAAAAAGAATTCTCCTTTCTGTGTTGTCGAAGGAATCGGGCGTAACACCTTTTTCACAGAACACCTTTCTTTTGTCAAGTATGATCCTCTGGCAACATGTACACGTGGTAAATAAACACGTAATAAGTAGCTTTGTAACCAGCAATTGATGGTATTTCAACATAGAATTAGTTAATGTTAAATTTATAAATGTACTTTTAAACAAAAGTGTATTCTTTTAGCAACGCGTGCATGTGATAAACATTAATTTCGGCCCGCCCATTCCGACGTAATATATGATATACGTATATATAGCCGTCAATTTAGATGGAGTTTAATCACCTAGTCACATTTTGTGTGAAGTTCTTTTGGTAGGAATGTTTTTCACCTCACACCCTTTTCTTAAAAATAGGAAAAAGAACTAGAATTTTTTTATTGTGTACTTTATAATTCCTATCGATTATAAGGTCGATAATTTATTTATACTCATCTTTAGGGCGCTGTGTTGACATTTTGCACACTTTTGTAAATTTTGTGTTTATTTACTTATATTTGGTGTATTATTGCATTAAATAAAAGCTGATAGATTTAACTAGAGTTTATTTATGGATATAGTTCCGATCTGTCGAGTATGCCTCAAAACTTCATTATCCTATATAGATCTGGAGACTCCTTTCGAGCAAAGCAATCCTGAGAGCTTCCACTTGGAGACTCATCAATCAAGCATGTTTACTACATATATGGATTGCTTCCGAACTTGTACGCAATTAGCAGCAGCTGATCGAGAGGAGGAAATGCCTCAAAGTATTTGTGAACAATGCGGGTTTGAATTAGATGTTGCTTGGAACTTCATTAAGAAATCTGTATATGCAGATACAATTTTAAAAGGTAGCCTAGAAAGCAAAGAAAATGTAAGCATTGTGCTTCTTGGTGATTTTGAAGAATATGAAACAGAATTCGAAGTAGCAGATGAGGAAGTATTGTCATCAGTCAGCGATGATGTAAGAAGTTGCTGAATTTTTAAGTATAAAAGCTGTAATAAAACTTAAAACAGTTTCCTGGATAACCAAAAACATTAATTGCTTTTACAGAAAAATGTCGTAACAACTTTAAAAGAGGAGGAAGATGGAAATGACAATATAACCACGCAAGAAACGGAAAACCAAGGTAATGTGCAATGAAATGATTATATTAAGAACTTTCATATCAAGTTTTATGTATTGCATTAGCGTTGATGGTGCTTTGTTTACATTGTGGCTCTTATTTTAACCCGAAATTTGAGCATAGCCATAATACAAGCTCTCCTATTTTATCAATAAAACTAATCGAAGAGGACTCTTTGAATAGAAACTTGAATATCGATTATTCAGAAAATAATGAAAAGGATAATGATTCGCTGAATGAAACGATAACAAATGAATCTGCACCATTAATAGAAGCCGAAAAGCATTCCATCTTGGAGTTAATGGACGTTGGCATAGATGGTGGAAATATAACCCATGAGAGTTTCGAAGAGGATGATGTTAATACAGAGAAAATCATCATCGATGATAATGAAATCGGTAAAAACAAAAACATTCAATACGCACTTTATGTTCAAACAAAGCTAATACTTATCTTCTCATAGATTTGAACTCTGCCTTCTACTGTTCAACTTGCCTTCAATCATTTGAAACTCGTCGAAAGCTATTGCTTCATTCTCGAACTCATAAAGCCTTTGATGGAAAAGCTTCTATTTGCAAAATTTGCCATCAAAAAGTAACTAAAGGAGAAACAATACGTCAACACATAAAAAACAATCATTCGAAGATTATACAGTGCAGTGAATGTGAATATCGATGTCTGGAAGTTAAAATGGAAGACCATGTGCGTCGAACTCACGACAATTCGATTACCTACCCTTGTAACTTTTGCGGTCAGTTAGAATCTATTATGAACATGATTGATTTAAACAAAGGTGCCTTTTGCATTCTTCTTAGATAAAACGTTCTTCTCTCAGACCTTATTAAATACGCATCATAAGTACCACCAACGCAAAGAAGTTAGTGTCAAATCTGATGCCTGTCAAATATGTGGTAAGCGATTTTCCACACAACACTACCTGCGCTTGCATTGTGATGTACATCGTAACGAGCGACAACTTCACCAATGTGACTATTGCGATAAAGTTTATGTCAGTAAAGTAGCTCTGGAAAATCACATCCGCCTTCATAAAGGCGATACAATAAATTGTGATCAATGCGGTTTGTATTAACTTCGAACAAGTTAGATATTGCACGTTAAAAACAATACGAAAAATTTCAGGGAAGCAATTTGTACGCCAATATGAATTAAATGTACACATGCGATTCCATACTCGAGAGTATCCGTTTGAATGTGAAGTGTGCGGAAAAAAATTCGCTATAAAAGGGCACCTGCGCACACACATGTGGAGACACCAAGGATTGAAGCTACAATGTGAAGAATGTGGAAAGCTATTCACTTCAACAAAAGCTTTGCAAGAACATTCTTTTGTACACAGCGAAATGCCTTTTCCGTGCAGTTATTGCGGGCGGGGATATCCCTCCAAACAAAAGTAACCCAAATTCTGCTTTTGGAATATTGAGTTTATTAATTGTAAATAATTTATATGTTCACAGATTTAAAGTACACCTTAAATCGACGCATCTTATTGATCTGACAGAAGAGGAACTTCTTAAAGTTACAAAATTACAAACACCGAAACCTTTACATAGAAAAAAACTTACTTTAGTACAAGCGGACAGTGTTATGAAAGAGATTGAAGTAAAGGATAGTGGTGGAGATGTGGCAAACGACATAGAGGAAATGTTGGTTAAACTTAATTGATACTTATGTTTGAGAATAAATAAATGTAATTGAAATCTAAACTTATTATAATGTTTTTAATGATTATATCTTATCTTATTATTAATGATTATATCTCCGTTACACGTCCCCGGTAAATGCTTTTTGTTTTTACTTTTACAATAAGCTGATCGATTTCCTCGACATCCGTCACTTTATGAACACCGCCGATATGGCGTCGCATCCTAAAAGTAATATGGCGAAACTTATCAAATAGAATATACATTGATACATGTTTATTCCAAACGTACTTTGATTTTTTTACAAATCCCTTGTCGCATATAGAGCATCGCAACGGTAAGCCTGTGTGCTCTTTACGATGCTGTAGCATTGTTGATTGATGAGCGTACTCTTTTCCACACAAGTTGCATTTATAACGATGACCTTCATGATGCCGGACGTGCTTATTCAAAACATGAACATACTTGAAACATTTGTTGCATTTCGGACACTTGTATGGTAGTTCACCAGAATGACTTCTTAGATGGATTTCAAGATCAACAGGCCGCGGATACTGCTTTGAGCAAACTTTACATTTCAACGAAAGCCCAGTATGACATTGTTTATGAAGCTTTAGACCGCCTTTGTAAAAGAAAGTTTTTTCGCACTGGTCACATTTGAATTGGGGTTCCCGGTTTTCTTCATGAGTTTTAATATGGGTTTTGTATGCATGTTGAGTAAAAAATTTTCGCTGGCACTCGTTGCAACTTATAGACCTCTTTCTATTCGCCTGATGGGTCTCTTCGTGCCTCTTCAATCCAACTGCATCTTCAAAGGTAGACGCTGAACAACAAAGAAAACCGTATTTTTTTCACAAAACAATTACTTAAAAAAAGTGCGGAACACATCATTGAAACTTGAATAAATGTTATGCATTAACATTTTCTTGTGCATTCACCACTTTTCCAAATCCAATATTATTCAAAACAAAACTAATCGGAGCTTTACCGAAGTCTATAAGTAGTCCGTAAAGTACAAGCTCAAGGGCTTTAAAATAAATATATTTATTTATGGGCAGGAAATATTTATGCGCAGTTTTTTTATATACAGAAACTATAAAATTGCAGAATTTATTATTTAAATTCTTTAGATCGCGCCTTTGGTTAACTAGAAACAATTTTGAAATTTCATAGAAGATAATATCCCTATAACGAAAGTACATAACTTTGTTTATCCAGTTAATGAAATGTACATATGTACTTGTTGAGCAAAAAATTTTCGATTCTTTACCGATTTAGGAAAAATACGATAAATATATGATTATTTTAATATAAACTTACGGCATGCGTAACTAAGCATTATTTGTTCATTTTTGGAGTGAAACCGAGATATATGTCGCTTGTATTGATTTCCCTTTAATGGTTTACTGCAGTATTCGCAAATAATCATAGAAGATGCTCCACATGCGTTGGTAGCACTTTGCTTACCTATTTCTGGAGCCATTCGTGATAATTCCTTTTCCGGATCATCGATGCTGTTGGGTTTATATTTGAGGCGTTCCTCTAAACATTCATTCTTTTTGGAATCCTTTAAATGCCATAATTCTGTTTCTTCTATTTCCGTGAGTAAATAATTCTCCGAGTCTGTTATATCGGTGACTCCATCTTCTCTAAAATTGTTTGTAGACTGTCGATTTTCGGGGGAACTATTCAAAGTGTCTAAATCGTGAGCTTCTCTTTGTTCTTCAATTAAGTATTCAATAGCTAAATGCTTTCAATGCAGACAATTTTTTTTTTCAAGATTAAAGATTTATTAAATATTTCACATGCATGCAAACATATGTTCATATATATATATACCTCTTCATGTGTTACTTGCTCAGATTCGCAACAATTGGAATCATCGTACTCTTGCATATTTATTAACTCGAAACGTTCCGATTGATTCTTACATCCAGTGTCATTTCTACATAGCTCCTGATCAGACTTTTGTGCTTTTCTTATGAATCTGAATGCATTTATTAGCTCATGTACACAGTCCTTGCATAAGTAATGCATCTTCATTTTGGATTTTGATGACGTCTTATTTACATCCAGTTGTGTACATAATTGAAAGCATTCCATTAACGTTAGTGGTTCATTGATGTCGTCCATCGGCATATACCAATCATAAAGCTCTTTAAACTGCTTTTTACATAAACACGCCCGACATATATTTGCCATAGCCAAACTCATTGCAGTTTTATAAACAAATTAAGATGAGATAATTCGATAACCCTTATATACGGGAATCGATTTTTCTGTTGCAACCACCGATAATTACGAATCGATTTCTAATTTTAAGTGATGAAAAATGCTGAATTAGGTTTGTTCCACAAGCTAACCGAAGAAAACTCGGACTCGAAAAATTGGTGTAATTTTGTGTAAACTTCGGCAAACATTTGTTTATCCGAGTATATTCTCCAAAAAAATTGTCCGAGTAATGTTTGTGTTGAAAATAATTAAATGCAAATTTTGTAAATTTTTTATTTGCTGAGAGTTTTGTGTAACTTTCCTTGTTTTCGTACGATTCTAAAATTGGAAATCAATAAACCTCGGCCATTGCTTATTTTTTTTTTATAAAAAATCAAAGATATTATTTTTATCGATTGGTATATTACAAACCGCAGTCCTGTTGCTTTAAAAAAATCGGAAAACAAAAAAATATTAATATAATTAATGTAATTTTATTTGTTTTTTCAATAAATACAGCTATTTTGTATTAAAATTTAAAGATACCATCACGCTTGTTCTGCCAGTCGGACGATTTTAAAAATCTTTTTTGAGGATTTCTTAGCAAAAAGTCAAAAATACTAATTTGATGGATATGACGTAAATGATGTGTTTTTAGAGCTTCAATTCAAAATATTTATTACGTTCGTTACAAATATATTTTGCAAATCGCACCAATTGCTTTAAGGGCTTCGTCACACGGTCCGTATTTATTGACGTTATACAAGTATCGCGATATTTATTGACGGTGTAGCATGCAGTATTCATGGTTCGTGATCTATATCGCAAAATTTCTAAACATTTTGTAATCTGGATCGCGGATCGCAATACCGTCAATAAATATAGAACGTGTAGCACTTTCAAAACGCGATCCATACATTTCGTCAGTGCATCTTTTACTCTCATAATGCGAACATCGAGAACGTAATCGCTCTGCCTTCGCTCTCGGTGCTTAAAACCTTTCAAAAGAAATTCAAAAAATTTTAATTAACATTGGAAATTTTAAAATATATTTGGTTCATACCCCTCCATTTTTTTGTGTTCACACGAAGATTGATTACTATTTCACTTCCTTAATTTGATGACAAAATATGTAGAATACGAACTTGCATAGCCAAGTATGACTGCACTTTAAACATCTCGTTTACACACCACAAACATGTGTACATCTCTTATTTATGTGTGGTTGTTAAAAATATTACCCATCAATTTTCAATGCGTCAAATAATTTTAATTCCTAATTCATTACTGCAAGCTCTCCCGCTTTCTCAGTAGAATGTTGGGTTACATTTCCATTCTTCCTTTTCCCTTTAAGCGATACAACGAAGTTTTCTATTTCGGGCAAATTAATCTTGTGCACGTTCTTAATATGTCGGCGTACTCTATTTTTTTTTTTTAAGGATGAAAATATGCATTTTTATCATAAAGGTAAATTACTTTATAGGCTTACTTGTACATTTCGGGGAATTCTTTTTCACAAATTGAACATCTTAACGGCAACCCCGTATGTTCTAGACGGTGTCTTTGTAGTGTCCATTCATATGAATATTCCTTCCCGCAGTCCTCACACTTCCACTGTAGTCCCTCATGTAATTGTGAATGCTTTCGCAGTGTGGACATTTTTGTAAAGGCTTTTTCGCATTTATCGCATTTAAATGGCGTATCACCCGTGTGGCTTCGTAAATGAACTTCAAGATCAATAGAACGAACGTAACGCTTCTGACAATACTTGCACTGTATCGTTTGGCCTGCATGTTTCTGTTGGTGTACAAACAGATTACCTTTAAACAAAAACGATTGCCCACAATCGTTGCAATGAAATAACGGTTTTCGACTAGGGTCGTGCGTCTTCAAATGATTTTTGCGTGCCGTTTGCGTAAAGAATTTCTTACCGCACTCCCCACAAGCAAATTTTCGCTCTCTATTACTTTCGTGTATATGTTCATGTTGAATCAAAGTGCTGCGATGTCTGAAGGTTCGAGCTAAGTAAATACTTTTAAGTTGTTTGTTGCAAGATATTGTAAAAAAATACCCACTAAGGTTATTAACAAATGTACTTACGACATGATTTGCAGAGAAAAACTTCAATACTTCGTGTACAAGAATGTCGCAAAAGTTTAGTTTTTCTTACTGTTTTTTCGCAAATATTGCAAAACACGAGTTCTTTAACTTTTTTTGGTTTGGAATCATTTATTTTTGCTTTCCGTTGGATCTTGAAATCAGCCT